GTTGTTCGTTAGACTTTGCTGGTTTGTCACTTATTCAACGAACAGCCATAATGCATCCGTATAAATCCCAGAAAAATCATTTGCTTTCCTTCTACAATTGTTGAAAATTTTCCATATTTTACGTCATATATTTAACTGATTTGCTTTCTTGCCTTTCTAAGGTAGACGAAGAAAAAAGTTTTTGTTATTTAGCGATGTCCTTAGTCATTCTTTGACCAGAATCACCTTGCTGAAACCACCGTCAAACAGTACATGCATACCTGTTTGGGATAGAGCTATTTTGTTGACACTTTCTGCAGTTCTTTGTCTATCAAGGGCTAAAATGTGCTACGTTTATAGTTAAATTTGAGAAATTAGCTCAGAAAATCAGTTTAGAATAGCTTTATTCTTTTTGTTTTTTTTTTTTCAATTCTGTAATTTTTTAATTTTTTTTATACATTGTCATTTTCGTACGCTTGCCATTTTTCTCACTTATTTCACAAAATACGTGTAATTACTTACCAATGAGAGAAAAGAGTAATGTTATAAGCAAATATTTCTCATAATGCCTTTGAATTTTATTTAAACGCTTTATAATTTTCATTGTTTTAACACATAAATTTTAGAAAAATATTTACCAAAAAAATGTTGTCAACTTCAATTTCGTGGACTTGTTAAAAAAAAATGGGTATTTATGGAAGCAAAAAGTAGGTATTGCCCATCATATAAATGTTTGTCGTTCCAGTGAAACTCCTCTACCACAGCTTTTACACACCTAGAAAGCGTTTCAGAAATCATTTCTTTATCACACTAAAAGACTATTCAGTTGTGATTTAACAGTGAACGACCGTGCTGTTGAAACCTGCTTCAGATTACCTTATCTGCCACTGAATCTCCTTCTTTTCGGCTTTCTTCCTCTGCGCATTTGTTTGCATCTTTCCGTACTTTCTACGAGGTCTAAGTTTCAGCTATTATGGACATCTTAATTTCATGCCTTACGTACATATTTTATTTGTTTTGACTAATTATAGGCGGGCAGAAACTCAATTTTTTACTTTTTAATTGTTACTAAAAAAAGAAATGTCTGAGAAAAAAAACTTCCGTAGTAGAATTTTTGATCATTCAAACTCACAATCTAATGTTCAGTTAAACTGTTTTGCCAACTGTGTTTTTTTTTTCCAAGGCGGTGCCTGACCAGGTTATTAACAATACTTGACCATGCATTTGGTGTAAAGGTAAAAAATGTTCAATCAAACGATTATGATATGCGAGACTAATTGAACTTTAAAAATTATGCTAAATACATAATTTAAAAATTGCTTTCTGCTAACATATTTTGGCTGCTATTTGAAAACAATAGGTCGAGACTCTAACTTGCACGTCATCGATAATACATTAATTCAGTTGTTGATTGAAAAACGAAGAAATGTTTGAGTAGAGTTCAGTTATGATTACTGCTTCTTTTATTAGTAGGTGAGGTATTAACAATGAGAAGGCTTAGCAACTGATTATTTGTTATTATAAACCGTAGTATAAATGCATCTTTTTCCTCTCTCTTTTTTTTGCATCAGTCGTTAATTTTACTTGTTAATTTCTAAGCGTTAGTAACCACCAAAAACGTTTTTCTGCTTATCATTTCTTCGAGTAATCTTTTACTCTGTCTTTTTTTAGTTACTGGTTACCTTTTTTCGGAATCCCGAGACGATGTTTAGACAAATTATTGAACTTGCAGTGCTTATCCTTCTGTTGGCAGCTGTTGCACAGTGCAGATACACTGGTTGGTGTTAACGTTTAGGGCAACTGCAGATCGCTCTGACTAAAAACTTTAAATTAACGCTGTTTAGAAGCTGATGTAGAACTTACTTAAATCGCTTAAAAATAGATAAATAAATAATCTGTCGAATTATTCATTAGAATCAGCAGAAGATTAGTTTCTGTTTGTTTCTTTTTAACCTTCTAACATCTGAAGACTGCTATTGCACTGTCTGCGTTCCTAAGGTCTTAGTAAGTAGAATAGAAAAGATCCTTTAGATAGTAAAATAAAATGCAGAAAAAAGTTAAATGGAATCTTTTCTTCGAAAAATTACTGGACTTTATACCACTTTTTTGAGTTTAAAGAATTTTTAGGTTAAAAAGCATAAAAATTAAAAGAATTTCTTTTTGCTTAATCTAGGTTTACCAAAAGAAGATGTCGACCGCTTTAATTACCGAGTTGCCTCGGCGCCATTCAGTGGATACTTCAGAGAAGTAAGCAAACAATTCGTCTTTTTGATCTGCACAAATTTTTGCTAGATAACCAGTATTTTTTTTTTTTTTT